TCTGATTGCAACATGCTCATGCGATATTGACATTTAATTAATGCGTATAATTTACATGGCATTCGTTCGAGTAAATAAAGATTAATCACTGCAAAACAACAGCACAAATTAACGGAGATCAGAAATTATTTCATAAATAATATACAGTTGTAGTATTCAGTGACCATCAACTTAAGAATATCATCTTAACTGATTGAATGAAAACATATTACAAAGGCATGTGGTAAAATATTAAGTTAAGTTCAATAATTTTTCTTATAAAATTTTTAAATGAGTTTAGTTGTAGTGTTAGATGAGTCTTAAATTCCTTGATCTACTTGATCTTATTTAAAAAATCACTGCCAGAGCATAAAATGTAATTGAACATGGTATGAATCTCAAGTAAATGTTTGTATTTTGATACTATTTATGACTTTCACGAAAATTTTGATAAACTTTTAGATGAACCTCGAATTATTATTTCTCTTTTCGGTCTCATTTAGGGCACGATATAAATCTTATATATCTATTTAATATCTTTTAATTTGAATTAAAATTAAAAAAAACAAAGAAAGACCTGTAAGTAAAATCTTGAATTACTGTTTACATTCCTACTTACCTTGGAAGACCATTAAGGATTACGGATAATCTTTATACAATTTTAATATAACCGCTTACTGTTTTTTGGATTTGAAACTCCCATGCAATTCTGATGAATTCTCGATAATTTTTGAGAACTGTTTATGGTTTTGTCTTTGTTTAAAATATTACTGAGTATTAGAAATTTAATGTTAAGGTCCAGTTTACGTTTTTGATCTGATTAATAATATAATCAAGGAAGAACTTTATTATTGAGTCTCAAGCTGATCTTTACCTGCTTGGTTACATTTGACATATTGTATAACGACAAGAACTCTATCCTAATTGTCAAGCTCCTGTTTATGTTTACAGTTTAATATGATATTTACATAGGCTACCAATGAACTCTTCCTTTAGATACCAGTTTTGCTTACTTCTTGGTCTTTAATTAAGTAATTATAACGTGACTCGAATAAAATCTGGCTCTTATTTCAGTTCAAAATTGTTTTTTACCGCCCTAACAGCCACTGTTCATTCAAACTCTACCAAAATCCCTATTAAAATACTGAAGGGCTTTCAAAATTTGAAATTGTAGGTTGTAGTGTATTTAGAATATACTGTAACTATATTCTACTCTTAAATATAGACATTTGTATTGCTCTTATATTTAGACAGATCTACAGTCTGCTTACTCTACATTCATATATAGCCTACTGTATTTAGTTATTACGGTACTCGCTGTTTTCTACAATCATCTGCTATTTTGCAACCTGTTATGGTATATGTTGTATCTAATTCCACAATCCTATTCTCTGCATGTGCTCTATCTTTAAAACTATAAATACCGGCGATTTCTACCTCAGAGTTCGTTAGCCTCTCAGTTAGTCTTCTAGTTAGTCTCTCACAGTCTAATACTTCTACTCGTTACTCACGACAGCTTGCACGCCGATCTACCGTAACTACCTCACTGTACTTCACATTACTAACCTACAATAAAGCATCACTTTTATAAACCCTTTGGTGTAATAATTGTAAATGGCGACTAAATCTCAACCCTCTGAGATATTGAACCCTCCATCACATAGGTTAACTTCCAGACTTCATTTAAAATCTTTGTAGAATAAAGATAAACCGAACACGGCTACCAAAAATTCTTTTTTACTATTACGATCATAATTTGGTTTTTTTTGGAACTTAAATGAAAATAGCCATAAACTTCTATGCTAATCTCAAAGTATCATTTAATATTTAAACTTGATTTTCAAAACTCTTGAAGCGAGCATATATGATAGTCAACTGTTATACAAGTCTTCAAGTTTATTTTTTTACAATTTGACTTAAACTTTTCATGAAAGTAAAAATTAATCTTAAAATACACCATATCAGCCAAATCTTTTCAGTAATCAATTCGCAACTCATTCAAATACATCAATAGCATTTTATGAGAAATCTCAAATATAATATACGAATTAATGCTATCCATCCAAAGATAACAGTGCTTGTCAATCCATGATGATGATAATGCAAATACTATTCTGCTAATTAGAATTTAGACCGGTATCCATTCAAATAGGTCTATTTCAAAATTGCAAAATTTAGTCTATTGTACAATAGCTAATATGATTAGTCTTGAGATCGTAATAGAATAATCTAAACTCTACTATTGAACAAAGATGGGTAAATTTAAGGTAATTATAGTATTATAGAAAACTAGAGCTAATAGATTAAGTACAATTCCATAAGAAAAAAAGCCACAAAATATTAATTTAACACCAATTTATGATAATGCATAATTACTTTATAGGCTAGTATACGTCCTGCATATATAGAGAGCATATATATCCGTTAGTGTTCTGATTAGCAAAGACTATAAAATTTTCATACAATTAGACACTAGAAGGTGGAGATTTTCACAAAATATGAAATGAAAATTCATAGCAAATGAATGAAATTGTGAAAATGAAGTTGTCATTTTGTAGGCAGAATTCGCAATGAAACTGTGGTTGCAAGGATATATTAGGAGAATTTTACAGTAACTTGAGTTCATATGAATTGGTTTAAGATATAAATTACAGATTCATAAAAATCTTAATCGTAAGTGAAGGAATAATAACACTTGTGCGGGTAGTCAATAGAAATTGCAGCCAATAGCTGTATCGGTAGTTTCGATCATTATCCTCTAAATCTTTCGCTGTCTTTGAAGAGTTTGTAATGTTGCCTTAGAAATAGTAGCATGAGATGATGAATAAGTGCCATAAGGTAATCGATGCATACCAGGAGCAGCACCACCTGCAGAAGAAGTGGTAAACTGCTTCTTTCCCGGTCTAGTTGCACTTTTCTCTTTACCTGACGGAGGTCTTGCAGCGGGAACCTAATATCAGTAGGGAAGTGGAATGAGTAGATCGAAGGAATGAATAAATTAGCTACAATCTATCATTCTATCGGTTATCAATCGATACGTCAGAAATGTGTATTCTTTCCATTTATATACCCCTACAATATCAAAATCGAGACGCTAATCCATGATTTCATCATTTTTAGACAACTTACCAATCTTGAACTTGTTACTGATAAGTCGGGGTTGCTATGGCTCATTGAAGAATAAGATGATACATGTTGTGCAGCGCTACTTTTACTATTTCCAGCGGAATTAGGTCTTTTCTTATATGGCAATGGACTAGCAGTCTAACGGAAATAGAATATAGCATGATTTTAATTCAGCAATGGCTTGAAAAATTCTCTTGGTACTGTATGGAAAGTTATAAGATGATTAAGAACTTAGCAAGAGGCACTTTAATACGCAATAGTGAGATAATAAAAAAGCAGCATTAGGAGTTTACTAATTGAAATGTTAATATAATGAGCTAAGATTTAAAGTCTTTACTCACTTCATATTGTTAGCATGTATGAATTTAATCTTATAGAATAACATCTTAAGGCTGTGGGGATGCTCTACACTAAGCCACTCTTTGAATGCTATTTATTTATCAAAAAACGGTAGCGACGAAAATATATTAGCTAACCGATAATATGGATATTTGCTTGCCATTGCAAGCTAAAATTTATAGTATAGAAATCCTTGAACCTTAAAGTATTTAGCATTTGAATATTTTATGCATTAAAGTAGGAAAGTATATATATTTCTAATCCCAAAGTGGGTGGAAATGAGGTAAGAGATAGTAAAATAGTTAAGCTCCCTAATTATTGGAATATAGCTAGATACTTTGATAGGACCATGAATTAACTTATTTCTCCAATGCTGCTGATTAACGATTACAATTTAGTGACAGAGTATACATTGCTTAGGATAATATATCATGGTAACTCTTATTTAGCAAATGTTAGACTTTTTTAAGGACAAATTGGATGAAATATGGTTTCTCTTGTTAGCATAATCATAATCATAGGCTGCCGTTAGAGTGAGACAATATTTCTTAATGTTTAGTAAGTTACGGTAGCTTAAAAAATTTTCCAGTAATCTTAGAGGAAATCATAACATTTATTCTGGTAAGTCGAAGTTTGTATAGAATTTTACCTTGACTTTGGGTCTAGTATCACGCTCTAAACTAGATTTTCGAAAACCATGTTTAGCATCTTTAGCTTGTGCAGCTTGAGATTCTCCTCGGGCTACTTGGGTACCTTGGATGCCTTGGGCCCCTGAAAATATAGATAGATAGGATTATTTAATCTTTATTCGTTAATTACTAATGATCTGAAAGTGTAGTGAAAATAAGATTAATTAGACTGGGTTTTTTGTAAATTAATTCGGCTAGCAAGTGTAGGATTAATCACCTGCAACTTCCGATTTTGAAGTAGCTTTAGGGACATTACGGGCAGCTTCGACTGCTACTGTAGCATCAGCGGCTTTCGATTTTATTCCTTGTGTCTCTTTCTGCATAGAATTTCCTGGATGAGCCTCTTCTTTTATGGAGGATTTTTTTAATTTATTAGCCATATCGAGAACTTCCTGGTCATCCTGGTGGTCAGCTATAGTTTCAGCTTGTTGCTGACGTAATTTTCTGTTCTCCAATTTTTTTTGAATGATGCTCTGAAAAATAATTGATAGCAATAGTTTTAGCTAATTTGCAGCTAACGGAGTAGAATGTTTTGATACACTATCATATCGCTAGTTATATCAAGGTATGGATAAGCTAAAAGGAATACTGCATCATCGCCAATGATTCTATAAATTTCTATTAGGAATTGACTTTGTTATCATAAAACCTCGTATAAATTTTGTCGGTATTCATCCACAGTTAATTGGATATCATCATCAACTGGTGGCACAATATCTCGATTAACTTTAGGTTCTTGGCTTTCGTTGTGAAATCTAGTTCATGATAATAATGATTTCACTAAATTTATTACTTACATTCGATATTTAATTATAGCAGTATTCTGCCATTTGCTTTACGAAGAGATTTAATCAAAGTAAAGGAAAACTATATAAATGTAATTTGCCTTCTGATATATGGATGTTTTAGCGCTTGTTCAGCAGTTAAACGTTTCTTGGGATTAAAATGGAGCAACTTCTTTAATAAGTCCATCGCATCATCAGGTACACCTGCACATAAACCTCCTAGGGACGTTGATGGACTGCAATAATGATCAAGATTAACTATATATTTCTGTTCTCAACGATAAATTCTGATATTACTGAGTAGAAAAATACTTCCAACTGGAAAAATATCAATTTAGCAGAGAGCCCGTTTAACCTTAAGCAACGAGTAATTATGCGCAATATCGAAGTATTCTTCGACGCTATCGTAGTCGAATCTTTACTACTTACTATGTCTTAATTTGATGTAATAAGGATGCAGCGTAATTAGATTCCAGATCTTGGATATCTATAATCGAACAAAATGCAAAATGCTCTGTGAAAGTATATCGAAAAGGATCAAATCATACCGATCTTTAGCTAGAAAAGGAAAATAAATCCAAGCTAGTGGATGCTGGTGACAGTACAGAAATCCATAGATTGAAAATTAATTTTAATTAACAGCAAACACAAAGCAGAAGGATGAATTATGATAGCGTGATTTATTACTGTTAGAGCAATCATTTACATGAAACTTATGAAGATGTACAATACATAAGATACAATATTCCCGAAGATGGAAAATCAAAATACCCGCATGGAGAATGTTGTAAATAGTGTTAAATATTACGATATATGTTACATTAGCTACTAGATAGAATGTTAAGTATATGATTAGAATTTCATCTATATAAGTACTTATAATATGATGACTTGTATGTAGTCTTGTAATACCGTACATGATTATATTCTAAAAGGCGGACTGATAATTTATTATATATATGTGCATATGTTATGAAGTAAACGATAGCTACAATAGTTAGTAATTAGATGTATGTGTAAAATGCTACGGCGCAAAAAGGCAAAAGGTGTAAGTTGGAATATCTATAAATACCCAGCATTTTTAATATTAAAGTCGGTTACGAAAATCTTACTCGCGGAGTAGAACTCATTGCTTAAAAACATAACCTAGAAGCTCACCTTCACTCCTTGGATGTCCAATAACTTGAACAATTTTTTCTACCTGGTTTAGAGTTGAAGTTCCTGGAAAGAGTGCTTTACCTGTGATCAAGGTGCAGATTATTTTGATTATTGCATTAATTTGTAGAGGAATAGTTATCGTCTAAAAATATTATCTAAGAAAGAATTAAGGGTTCGAAGATAAAGCTCTTAGTAAACGTATTTAAATATCAGCGTAATCCTCGTCATTTTGATATGAAAACGAAGATATGGTTTAATAATTTCGCTAGAAAATAACTAAGAATGAAGTCTTACAGTGCCCATTTCAGTTAAACTGGGAATAAGCTTGCATAACTTATAGAATAGATTATAATAAAATGTCTTTATTCAATCAGTTAAGCTTGTATCGACTTAAATAAGTATGCAATATGGACGATGATATCTGACCTATTAATATTTCTCCTAATATGCACCCAATAGACCACATATCTACTCCAAAAGTATACCTGAAGCAATTAAGGTGATTGTTGTCAATTACGTATGGAATTTAATACATTAATCTTCTATCAAGATGCCACGATCTGATATTCGAACAGGCCTAAAGTTTTACAGTACCTTTGTGATGATAGTAAAATTTCAGGTGCACGATACCATCTTGTTGCTACATAATCAGTTAAATTAGGGTTTGCTACTTCTTCGGTTAGTCTTTTGAGCGATCTTGCTAAACCAAAATCTGCAACCTTTTAGAAAGATGAAATGTTACTCTTTAACAGCCTATGGGTAATAATTTTTTATGACTGCACTGGCGTGGTTAGCATTTGACGATTCAAGATTGCAATTTATCCGATTGTAAAAGTTAATTTTTCGTTTGTACTCGTACGAACCTTGACAAAACATTCCGAATCCAAGAGAATATTGCTGGGCTAAGATATTAAAGTATAAAATAATGATCAACTTAAGATAGCTGTTCGATCTTTTCAGGGCTTGAAAGTGTTATTTTAGAAAGATTAATAATCCATTTGGTATAGCACTATTTAGTTAATGTTAGGTGTGATAATAAAATACATAAATTGCACCAAGATGTATCATAAGTAACGCTAATCCAGAATTGTGTTTATTTTGGTCGAAATTGATGAAGAGGCATATGTTATTAGAAAGTATAGTTTCCAAATGAGCGATAACAAAACAGCAATACATCATTAGAGGATACCGTAGTCTCGGATTTTTTAAAAATCAAGAGTAACTGTCTATTTATAATATACTGATTTAATCTTTATTTTCAGATCATGAATTATAAATTTGGAAGTTTGATATAACGCTAACACAAGATGAAATAGTGACTGCTGACCTTTAAATCACGATGGATAACGTTTCCGGAATGCATGTATTTGATAGCTCTTAATATCTGGTTTGAATGAAAGAATTAGAGACATGTTCAGTTAATGCAACTAAAGATAAAAACTATTAACTTAACATTTTCTTCACCTGATACATTATGTATCTCTTATGAACATCCTTCAAGATATTGCCTTTCTTAATTACATTGTGTAGATCGGTATCTGTGCAATTTATAAAGCATTTAGCCATGATAGTTTATTAAAGCAATTGTTTATTACCCAACATCTGAAGAATATTATTATAACCAGCTCACTCTTATATATTCGTTCAAGGCTATCATTATGTTAAGTAATTATTAATTTATTAAAATGTTAATTTACTCATTTATTTACCCATATATTCAAAAACTAAATAGATATCTTTATCATTTTCAGCTTTGATCACGTTAATTAATTTGATGATATTATCTAGCCCACTAAATTCCTAAAAAGCAAGAGAAGAATGAATCAATTAGTGATGATATAGAAACGACAAAATAAATATCTCATAGGATAAGGAAATTTCTCTTGTTACTCTTGTCATTATTAGGCAGACAACATAAAGAGAGTTTATTGCTTAACATTGAAAAGGTCACTTCTACTCTATGAAATTGCAGCTGACTATTGCTACAGTATAATTACAAAATTAACCTTATGAAACAGCAAGATCTATTTAAGAATTAATCCACCTATACTATGTTTACTACTTATATTAAAATTACCTGTAAAAAGAATATTTCACGAAATGTTCTCTATAGATGATGATTGGTCCACGTATTCAACGATAGGCAAAAATAAAAGCGAGAAAACGTTTCCATAAATAGAAGATCAACATGTGATAAAATGAAATTAACGACCAAGCAATTAAAATTTAAAAGCACACTATAGCATTGACTCGACTATAAACAGTTTTCAGACTTACTTGAGCGTCCGTTTGATTTCGAAAAGCGTCGAAAATCTTCTTTACTGCTACTATTTCATTGGTTTTCCTATCGATAGCTTTCCATACAATACCATAGGCCTAACGTCAAATAAGAATCAAAATACGATTCTTAGTACTGCAATTTTCTTACGTTAATAATAGAAAGATACATACCTACTTTAAGTAAATTATTTGCATATTGTTACAATTCTATAAACGTTAGGATAATGCACTATTCACTAGCACAGTCTACATCTCTATAAAACGGCCATGTTATATGCCAGAAATGTAGTTCTATCTGACATGTAAAGCAACGCCTTTCATTCTTAGACTTTATTAAGAGAATGTATTGTACTAGTGATTCAATCTGTATACACTATGATATTAATTCATTTCTAGATTCAAATCCATGTTTTCAGTTTTTTAGTAACCGTTTCAATTATATGATAAAAGTTAAGACATACCCCTTTTCCTAGGCGCTTTCTAATGTCGTACTTTTTCAGGATATGAGGTTCAATTTCTGTCGACATGGCGGCGGGTGTAAAAATTTACGTTTTAGTTTAAAATATTGTTTTCCGTTATAGTTAGAAATAGATCAATTAAACGATGATGAAAATCGTCTTTAAAGGTTTCCCATAACCATAAATGTTAATCTTTAGTCTTTTATTAGTGGCATAGATCAATCTTAGTCGTTAATGACGAGTTAACATTCAGATTCGTGCCAATTGACGCAAGATTTACCAAAGGAATAACTGAAAAAGTGGGTAAGGACGTGAACAGTTTATAACAAGTTTTATAATTCTAACCTGTACGCTATTACGACATGTATGCTTGGATGCTTGCAATAGACGAGTGTGTATATGAAAGGTAAGTATAGAACGAGTATTACACGCCTCTAACATTAGCAGGCAAGTTTATATACAGATTCTATGCACTGTATATTTCATTATCATGCTGTATTATATAACACTACAACAGCTGACTGTTAACAATCATATTAACGGTTAAGAGCCGCCATACCGTATGCAGTAGATAGCATATTGTTTTATTCACTACCTATCCAGCAATAATAGTTGAGGAGTTTAATCCTTTTTCGACTTATTTGTATAGTAGCCGGCGTGTTCCGTGCATAGTTTCCATAGCAACCGAAGTTAACTTACCCACCCTTCTCAGGGAGATATCCGATGTCGAGCGAAAATGTCTACCGAATAAGTATGCGACGACAATTGAAAACTGCTTTACGTAAAGAATGACAACGTCTAGAGGTTTTAATCTCCATATCTACCTTGCTAATCATATGCTAGTTTACTCTACCGCTACAAGTGCAAGATATACTTATATCTAGGTCTGGAGTCACGAGGAACTACAGGATGTATAGTAGAACAGAAATTTTCTAAGGATAGGCGTGAAGCGGCAATTGAACACTATATTTGATATTTGATTTCAAGCACTAAAATGAAGATTTGTGATTGAAAGCTCTTACTTTAGGCGCTATTATCAGTTTGGTTAATTTGCTTATGCAGCCTTGCAGCTTAATATAAGATACTTTACTGCTATTCGATACGGCCTAAAATATATGTGTATATGATAAACGGTAGCAGTTGAATATTATACTAAATTGCAGCCCTGAAATACTTATTCTGTATATAACGTGATATGAAGATTATTAATCTTTATCACTCGTATAATTATCATCCATTGAAAAAATTTGCCATGACTTATGTAGAATCGATAGGAATACATTTACTGAAAATTCTTAAAGGATTGGCACTCGAAAATGACTAAATACGTCATACTCGTATGTAGTCACCATACGCGTCTACCTGTACATATATGTAAGAAGTATCGAGATTCTTAATTTCTAATTTTATTAATTATTCATATGTATTGTAGTATACCGAAATTTATCTAAGTATGCGGGTTCAGTTAGCTTAATTAAAACAAATCACCATCAATTTAGTCTTCCGTATCGAATTCTTAACTAAGATTCTTTCCCTCAAATTCATTAGATTTATACAGAAATAATGTTTATGTTTAAAATGTAAGAAATTAATTGGCTTATGAAATTTCTATGAGGACAATAGACCAATAAATATCATATATAAAAGATTATAAATTATAATTTTATGTTACATCACATTATGAATTAGTATCTCTTGGAAATACGCCAGTAAAATTCTTTTGAAACAATATTCTAGGTGAAAGTATTCTATTTAAACACCATATTGTTAAAAATTACAACCGACAGTGCATTTTTGAATACATTTTCATATTTTTATCATATATTAAATTGAATATGAAATTAGTCATGGAGTGTGATTGTATTGCACTCTATTTATATCCATTTCTTATTAACATTTTCATGAAATGATTGTTTACCCCAAATCTCTGGTTTATAGGCTCCTAAGATGAATTAAGCATGTTTAATTAGAAAATGAGATTGTAAATAACAAAACACATACGCAATCTCTTGCGGTTATGTTCATACCTGGCCCCGGGGTATCTTTAATTCCGCCATTCATCCATCTACTTGTGCCTGATGTAAAAGAAGATGTCGACATAAAATGCTTCGTAGGTTGTGAAAAATCTCTCAATTCGTAACTTCCAGGACCTGGTAAAGGTGGAGGTGGCGATGGAGGTATAGCCGGCGCTGATAAGCATTGGTAATGTTTTGGTCTGTAATGGCATGTTGATAGATTTACAAATTAGTCTACAGGAATAATAGCACCCAAAATATCTGCTTTCTTAGTTATTAGATGTAGCGTAGAGTAAAGTTTATCGTATGGCATTTTGAGGCGCTTACGGTAAAATTTTTTTGTCATTGTATAACCCTTCTTTGCCATAGGGTTCATAATCTGCAGGTCCTGGAACCTATAAATTTACGATAATGAAGCTATTAAATTCTAACCTATTTTCGCTCATGTTATTCTGTCGTAGTTACATGTGATCTAGGAATTGCTGGAAAAACTTACGTGTGATAGCTTCATGATTGATCGATTACTCGTAGATTTAAATACTGAATTATAAGACTTCGATTCTCGTTTCATTCCATTGTCAGTAACATAGTATTTACCTACAAAATAATATACTCCTTTAATTCTTTGCTGTAATATTTTGAATGAGGGTAGTTTTTATTGTAAAGATGATATTGCAATGTCATACTTGGTGATGGCATTCTTTGCTTTTGGATATCAACAGCGACTCTACTAGTTCTATCAAAGATAGAAACGATATGATTACTGATATGATGTTAGCTATTTTAAAATAAATTATTTTATGACATACTTTGATCGAAAGGCAGACGTTGCTCCCTTTCCTTTGTCGATTTCGGATAATGGAATCTTTTAAAATAAGTTATTAAAATAAATATGTTTTAGAACAATGTAAATAAGTTGTTAAATTACGTATTTAGTTAAGGATGCTATCAGTAAATCTAACTGATCTAAGAGAAACCTAATCTAGGCTACTCTCCGTTCAGTATCCATTTGATAAGATGATTTGATGTTATACTCACACTGTAGGTTCCAGGACCTGGAGATAAAGCCGATTTATCCTTAACTTTAACAATTCTGTCCATAAAAACGCTGCATGAAAAAATTATCAGTGTATCAGTTTATGCTCGAAGAATTGCAAAAATTTTCAATTTATTAGTAGATTTAAATAAGTTACTATAAGAATAATTTTTTCATTTAATTAGCTTATGAATATTAGCATGTTACTATAAATATTAGTTACAACAATAAACATTTCCTGCATTTCCTATACGTATAAAATGTTTCAATTTTCAGTATTGTTTTATAAGTAGGATTTCTTGCATTGCATTCAATCAGGGACTTTATGAGCAGATGCCACAGAGTAAAAGAATTATAACGTAACTAACAAATCTGTTGTCATTTAATTTCCTATAAATCTCCAAGGTTTTATTTACACCTAAATATGCGTTCTAAGTTAATACTTATTCTCGGTATATGATAGGGGTGGCATTAGCTGGAAAATACTCTTTCATGTCTTATATTTTATTAGAAGCGAACTAGAGCTGTCTAGTCATCTTTCTTAGCTAATACTCGATTCGTAGTTTATGGAGTCAAGATTAATGAATATGCTAATGCAGTGCTGACTTTCTATCATCATCTAAACGCAAACATTATAAAAGTTTTAATTTGATAATAATGAACGAACATGTCAAACGCGAATTCCGCCTGATTATTGTGAATTATAAGGGTATTATTGTTAATACTGGAATGTTACTGGTTATATATTTTGCTATTGTAACGACTTTAGTACTGACATAACATATGTATCTTGACTAGCTTACTCATTGTAAACACGTTCAAAATTCTTGTTGAATCTCTTACTTTCTTAGTTTTTAAATGACTACTAAAACGAAATAATCTCACAGTGGCATTACTATCGAAACTAATGAGTTTAAAATTTAATTAATTTCACGCGTAATTCCTATTCATTGTTGCGCAATTATAGCATGGCAGCGACATCTGTATTTACAAAGTTTAACTAAGATTTACTTAAAGGACTGCTATGATTAGATATTAAGATATATAACTGATATACATAAGTCAGAAATAACGACGTTATTCTTAAGATTCTTATTCATTGACTTACTGTACAATATAAATTTATTTAGCCCTATTTCATAAAACTGAATGTTGCTTCTTTGTCAGATATATGTCTCTTACCTAGATGATTGCGCAGTACTAAAATTCAATTTCTTTTCGGTCGTAGGTGGTGCATAAGAACCTAGCATAGATCCAAACAGTCAGTACTATCTAGTGTTTCATTTTATATCTCAAGAATATTAAAAGTTGTCTAATTTAATTTTAAGTCTATCGTCTAACAGTTATATTATCATAGTGTAATAAAAAATACTATAGTATTGTCGGTAGTAAATGTTAGTATAATAACTAAATATGTTGGAATTAATATATTAGAACGTAATTGAACCTGGGCCGATAGTATTTCCTCGAATCGTGTTCCGAAATCTAGGAGACTACAGATAAAAATATTTATAAATTATACTGTATACACGTAGTATGGCATAATCCTATAACGGATAGTTCCATGATTAGCATGGTTTTAACTTAAATTAACCTTTGAAGCGAGAGGACCGGTTCCTTTCTTAGATAACGAGACTGATTCCTGGCCTAGGTTTGGGCGATGTTCGTAAGCCGCTGGGCCTGGTACGTCGTTCTGTTATGAAGTGAATATTTGACTTCTTTAAGATTGACGCGAAGTCGATTTAAAAAGTGTCAACACCAACAAACTAACAAGTTAACTAACATAAAGGACAATAGTGAATATGTTAAGTATTTTTAATTTACGAAATAGGTACCATATCGCACTTACTACTTCTACTAGCTGATCTCCAAATCTGGCTGCTGAGGAGTTGAAGGATTTTCTTTCCCTATTTACGGTGACGTAAGTTTGATACTTGGATGGTATAGTAGAACCAACTGCAGGTGTAGTAAATCCTAACAACAATTAAAGATGAATCAGTTTTTACATTCTAGTATGCAGATGGTTAAGAATTAAAATTACTGGTTGTAATATTAGTTTAATCATCATACAGACCATAAGAGGGTCATACATGTATACCATATATATTCCCATACATTCATGAGGATAATTTCGTTGTACTGTAACAAACCTAATAGATCTACAGTACAGTATGTTACTACAGGTTGATGCTATTATATGTAGTAATTTAATTCCGTAGGTGAATAAACTTTGATGTCTCAGCTTTACATGCATGCATCCTCTCCTTATCTCAATTTAGTGTTTTCGATCATAACGGCAATGAACCCAATCCATTCATACATTCTATCTACTGTATTTTTATATGCATATTACGTATATGTCTAGTGCTATAACTATTCAAACATTTACCTTTTCGTACTCTTTGTGGCGTATAGATGGATTTTCCTACAGATCTGGTATAATCTCCATTGCGTATGACCTTAACGCTGTCTTCCATACTTTATTATTACTCTGATAAAATAACTTGATCAAATGTTCTCTTCATAAGCTGCTTTAATTTGAGCAATTATTCTCTGCTTACTGTACAATCTTGTAAAGCAGCTTACTACATCTAAGTTGTATCCTACTCTCTCTGTAATGGTATTTGAAGAGAAAATAAGATGGATAATAAGGCGATTTGAAATATTAGTATAATCGAAGAATACAGTCCCAAATTTTAATAACAGCTCCTACTGGAGTGTTTAAGTCGGGTCCAGTTGTCATGGCGATGGGTAGTATGTGCATCGCTCCTCGTCCATCAGTCAGTCAGTCAGTCAGTGGTGCTTACAAGGGAGTCTTGTGTCAAGTGTACTCAAGCATAGAGATAAAAGTAAAAGCTTTTATTATGGTGTGCAGGGTATAGAATGGGCATGTGATGTTCGAATATATGACGTAGCAACTCACCAAGCTAGTGAACGATGCGGGCTTACAGTGTACGGTGTACACTGTACAGTACTGTAGAGCTTAGTACGGTGCAGCATGTACTGTAGTATCATGGTGGTGCTGGGGTCCAGCCACCGTCCAGGGATTGAACAATCTGTGCGCTCAGCTGCGCATGACAGTGAATCATACCAAGATTGAAGAAAATGGCTGAAAAGTAGGACTTGATAAACAAATTCACTTCTATAATGATTTTCGTGGTATTTTATATCCTACCAATGATTTAAGTACTGCTAATATCCGTGATCATCTTTTAGGAAAGATGCGAACTGGTGGGGAGGTTGGATTGCCACTGCCAAAGAAAAGGTAGGATTTGATATCGAAGTAATTATAGTACAATATTCATGACCGATGAAGTTTGCTGGTCATACATATCGTGATTGTCGTCCATTTGCCCATTTTATTACAATTGTTTGGATGCTTTACTAAGAATCATCAACGGATTTTCTGCTATTGCGTATCAATTGCTTAGTATAGTGCACGATGCTAAGCTAAAACAATCACAGAACTCAATAATATAAATGCTCGATTAAACAAATCGAAATAGTATAATTGCGTATGCTGGTATGCTTGTTCAAAGTTCGGTCGACAAGTCATATATTATTAGAATAGGGAATTACTCGACAGAATTAGTTGTTAGTGATCCTCTGCCATTAGGCTTACCTATAGAGGGTATGTATTGTGCGCAATGAATTGTATACGTTTAATTATAATTGAAATAGTAAATATCGAATGCTTATAGTTTCGCATTGGTATTAGCTGTGATAAATACTGCAATTTTCCATAATCCCCCATACGGATAAATTGTCTCTGCTCAGTACAGCGTTTAGTTGCTGCTAAGTTCACATAAAGTTTTTATTCGTTGTATACAGTCGTGGTCAGCCTTTGAAATGGCAAAGAAGGATGTTTCAGAATTTGTAACAACATTACAAACAGATACTACGCAAATTGTATCGGAAACAGCGGATACTTTAAAGAATAAGCTAACTGTAAGTTAGTTATTTTAAATAACTTTGATATGTTCCTACACTATGAATACTAATTTGAGACTCTAAATGGCATGGACAGGTTGAGCGAAACGATGAAACTGGTATTCAAAAAGGTAAAATTTCTCCCATTAGCGAAAATTTAGGTTGGAGTATGTGTGTGCGAGTGCATGCAGTCTACGTTGTTAATGAAGTGAAGAGAATTTGGTTGCAATCCTGCGTAGTGAATTACTTTTAGTGACTGTGAATTCCAGTCACGCAGTATATTTCATTATAAGTATTACATATACTGCAAATATCCCTAGCGTTGAGTTAGTTAGTATTATAACTTTATTAACTGTTCCTATATATACTAATTTCTCTCTAGATGTGAGATTTGATGAAGGAATAAGTGCTACTAGTGATATTGTTGATGTAAAGTATGAATCAAAAGCTGTAAATAGATTGCAGGTAAGATTGGGTATTGGTTATTGTAATACTAGAAAAATCTGCGCGTTTACACTGAATACGTACAATTTTAGTCTTGTATACGCACAGATCAAAATAGGTGAAAGTTGTAGTTCTGAAGTTCACGAGATAAATAAGTATTTTTAAAGTAAGAAACTTTGAAAACGTTGATGAAATCAACTGATTTTCTGTACTGTACTTTACCCGCTATTCAGGCTAAACTGGTGGTCCTACGAGAGAATCCACTGACGTATCGAGAGGAACCGACTGGTGCGACATGCTTACTTATATTCATTGATTTTTAGAGCTAAAATCATCAATAAATTAAACGAATGTGATATTTTTACTTATCATACTTTCACGAACTTCTAGATGGTGAATTTCATCAGTGGCAATCTGCATTTAACGTTGACGAGTATAAGGGTGAAATATCTGAATTGTTGGTGGATAAGCCTCGTGTGAGAGGACTGTATTCAAAACTGGTAATGGGAATTATTGAGATAATATCCAATTAAGCGATTAAGCAAGCTGCTCATGTTACCAAAAATTTAGATCTAAATTGGTGTTTTTCTGTGTTGTCCAGGTACCTTCAGAAATGTCGCATCTTATCTTTTGGCAGAGATACTTTTATAAAGTCCATCTTTTAAAATTGGTTTGTTGAAGTAAAATACTATATATTAATGAACGAAATCTGAAGATTCAATATAAACACCTAGCTTGGCATCAATGTTGCAATCGTTACAAATTGAAATTACCTATAATACATTTTATAAATGAGATTTTAAGTTATAAATACATATCTCGATAGAATATGACAACGATTAGATAATGTAAGTTTTGTACTTAAATTTTAGGAAGATGAACGTCGAGCTAAGCTGCTTGCCCGAGCTAATGAAACAGAAGACGAAGTTGATTGGGGTGATGATGAAGGTAAAGCATTTGATTTCTTTAGCAGCTAAGTTAGTTCATCACGTTGACTTTGTAGACCTCTTTTTCTCTAAGACGATTCGGACGGCTATAGTGGCAGTGCTTTAGACACCGAAAATAGGATAGAAACGACAACTGCGCTACCAGAGGTTTCTCCCGGGATTGATGAAAAAGACATAGCTACAACAGAAGGCCCCGAAATAGAGGATGCATGTACAAAAAATGTTCAAGTCCATGATTGCGAGCCTACTGAAGTACCGGATACTCACGAAAAAGACGTCCAAGACCCGGATAATGAAACTACTGCATGTAATTTGGAGTCAAATGATAATATTGAGTCAATAGAATTAGCAGGTACTTCTGAAAACCAGAAATATAGCGAAGATAGGGCATCGAATATCGATAATGAAGACAAGATTTCAGTCGGTGATAATATAGAAGCAAAGAATGAATCATGCAGCGAAACTGAAGCAGTTTCTCCGGGTTCGCGTGATATTTTACCTGAAGACACGGATGTATGCCACGAAATAGTCAAATCTCCAGTTATTGATGAAAAAGAATGTGATCTATCTCAACCAAGTGATATTGACCATACGCCTGCGGCTGTTGCGCAAATACAGTCAATATCTTTTAACGTGGATGAGGAGAATACAGGCACGGTACGAATTAGCGATGAAGATTTAAAAGACGTTAATGGGAAATCAAGTAATGATAGCAAAAAAGGTAGTAGCGAAGATTCAACAAGTGATGATTGGGAAACAGAATTTGATCTGGATTTGGAAAACGTCGAAGCACTAGAAAATACTCCAAATGCGGATGATATTGATGTAAGTCAAGTAAAATTCAGTTATTTAATGGGTTACATTAGGGATGATTCTGCTAGCTGCATTAGGTTGACGAGTATTATTTTCTCTTTTATATTTGCATATATGCTGTAGAATGAAGACTGGGACAGCTGGGATGAAAATTAGGCATAATAATGATGCTGTTCATACTTATGTAAATGACATGAATATGCCCAAGACAACAAATCATACGTCATAACTTTATTTATTGTTCTCAAATCTACTTTTAAGCATTTTAAATCAGTGTCTAACATGTAGTAATTACTGTATGTTTTATTAGTTAATTTATAAATATCAGTATAGATTGAGCGTAATACCATATTGATATTATATGATAGTAAATACGATATTTTACTATGTATCAACCACAGGTTGATACGATCTTAAATTCGTCAAATCCAAATCGCTACTAGGTATCGACTTCCGTATTAATTTGTAAACATGAAAAATTATAATTATTATATATTGAATGCCTGGTGTTTAAAAATATCTAAACATAAAAAGTACTTCTAAATCCGTTAGGATAAAACTGAAATCAATTTTCAAAGGAAATTATGATACTATAAAAAGTAATACTGGAGTTAGTAGTACGTCCAACTTATAACTATCATTAAAGGATATATTTTTTCAACACTACGTTTTACAGCAACCTCACGGTCACTTGTATAAACCTAGTATACTAAAAACTGTCTAATGATAAGATGGCTGACAACGGCAATTTATATATCTTAATCATTATGCTTTACAGCATAAACCGTAGTCAGGCAGACAACAGGCTAAATTAAGAATCAAAGGAACAATGTACGTCCTTTGAAAAATCGCTTGATTTATCGCCACAATTCTTTAAACCCCACAGTGCTAACGACAACATGACTATTTTCGCTTGGATTTACATAGAATAAAAAATTATTATATGAATACGCGGCTTAACTTATAGTTTTCGAACTGATATGTTGGATAACTTCATTCATCTAGATAAAAACGCCTAGTGTGAATAAATTCAAGAGTGAAAGAACATGGTAAATGTAAAGTATGAAGTCTTACCTTCGCCAAAATGTTTGTAAAAACGACTAGCAAGTGATCGAGACATTTCTTTATCTATAAGTTCAATAGAATGTTATATTAACATTGAACAGAACAGCCTAAAAGCGTATAATATATGTATCGTACCGCATCTAAGACCGTTGGAATATAATCTTTTATTAATAATTGATACGGAGATAAAACATCGGTCGTGTACTTAAAACCGGCTTTCGTTAATAACCATAACTTTTCAACGGCTACAGAAGCCAAATCAGAAAGAATCCTCATATAGTTCAATAGTCGGGTTGATAAGAACCTACAAAGAATTAAATATAACGAAAGTTGACAACCCGGTATTAAGAGATAATCATAACAACAATATCACTATACTGTATTTGAATTACCTCGTATGTGTTCTTAAACTCTCAACCTGAGATTCATCAAGGTTGAAGTCTAAAAGTATTCAATTACCAGTATTAGTTAAGAAAGAGAACAATAAATATAAACTACCTTCAACTCTGTATTATATATTATTATGAGCTCGAAGTTATACGGTGTCTTACATTGAGGATAAGAAATAATAGCGTGTAGAGTACCCAAACCAAACAAGAACAAAAGAATTAGTAAATATAATAAATATGATCCAGTCATCGAAGCGTTCGGTTTCTTCTCATAAGCTGCATTATCGACGAATGCCTAAGAAATCATTTTGTTTGGATGAGACAACTTAAGATACGTTCACACTTAAAGAGTAAACTCTAGATGTTAATGCAAATACCTTCACTTCAGATTGAAATTCCGCAACATCTTCCTGTTGATTAACAATAAGATTAAGACCACTTATGGATCAGTCAGCAATAGACTATATACTTGGAGCTTTGCAAAGATTACGATACTTACAGCCTTATTCCGTTTTTTAGAAATTATTGCAGTATTGATAGAAATGAAGTGGTTGATAGTATCCGTAATTAGTAATGAGTAATCACCCTATATAATGCAATAATGTAAATTATCATTTAAGTAACTTTCCAAGTTATAGTGAGCCCACATCCTTCAATTACAAGTTAAATATCATTTCAGGCTATAGCACCTTTTTGGAGAGTGATCCGCTTGACCAGGCTTTCTTCATGTAACAAAATAATATTCTATGCAAATGAATCAAGACACCAGAGTAAGTACTGATGCCTGTGGTTAATCATTGCATGGATGAGGTATAATGATTTACCAAATAATAAGTATACCTAGATTGAGGAATATTATTTCGATACATTTCCTTCCACACTGTTAAGCAGTAATGATCTTTTTCCAAGTAGTATTTTAGACAATGCAAGTTCTAAAAGTTGCAATCTTATATTAAAAAAATTATCTAGATCGCGGAATTATAAATGATCAATTCCAAGTATACCTCCTTCCGAAAATCGTCTGAACTATTACTCAACATCGGCAGCAGCAAAGAAAAGTAGTTGCGATAACTATTCGTTGATTCGTGGGTTAGTATGAAGTCCTATCGTTAATTTACGTCTTATTAATCAAATCCAGCTAATTTTTATTTTGTTTAATGCTTAGCTAATATTTTATTATTCATACTAATCTTATACCGTATTGAATCCGAGTAGCAATTTACCTTTAACTTTGGATACAAACTGATGAGCTTCTTACGGCTCCTATTAAATAAAAGCAATGCGTTAGCGCCAAAACAATTGCTTTTCTAAACTTCTCTTTGCGGACTTACGATGCATGGAGTGAAGAATTATCGCTAAATAGCATATGCAAAAGCGTAACAAATTCCTTTGGACCAACATTAGGAATTTTATTAATATTTTTACTTTTCTTGCTCCTATTAATAAATAGGATAATATCTCAATATACATACACAATGGATGAAATACACTTAAACATAAGATACAAAGGATATGGGTATACTTGAAAAGATCTTCTATAACTGTTATTGCATATGGAGCAAGACTTCGCACATTCATAGCAGGGAACATGAGCTCAAACCATACTTAAAGTCAAGACAAAGTACATGATAGCGACTACGCTTTAGAACAACCAACAATTACGCGTAATATTTATAGCCTTCTTGAAGTATCGCACCAATAACACTCTAGCTTTAAAACTATCATAAAATTTACCTTGGTATCCAACGGCAACATCACCAATAGACGCTTGATTGAATGCCCATAAAATAGACAGAGCCTCATAAGGAACAATTTCCAACACGCTTGGTTTGTACTGCAGGTAAAATCGATTACAGTTACGTTAAATGAGTTCTGCACGTGGCAAGACAAGTTATGATATAACAGTATTTTACGTTGATAATAGATCATTTAATCATTTACATGCTATAGCAGACAAGGCGGAAAAGTCTTAACTTACAGTACTTATCTTGTTGAGTACAATAGCTGGATTATAGCGAGTCATGATTTGAATCATAATGCGATAGCCGTAAGTTTGAATATCTACGGTTTTGTGAATATTTTTTATTTGTTAGAATATCCAATCTAACCGGTGTACTGTAAATAGACACTATTTATACAGCAATAATTAGCTCTGAAGGGTGAGATAGGTTAACGAGTGAACTATCCGACGTAAACGTACTATTCCTTATGTTTTTCAACATATTGTCAATGCAATCTTCGAAAAATATACTTATAACAGCTTCTGGGCATTTTTCCAATAATTGGATTGCTAATTGCTTGAATTTATTGGATAATAAATTCATTGGAAAATCTGTCAGTAAAGTTAGGGTAGATCGTTAAGTGCGTTTACAGGATCAAGTCATAATCACTTTTAACTTTTTATTCGATTGTAGACTAGTAACTGCGATATGAATAACTTGTAAAATAAATGGATGAGTACCTTTGCTTTTGCCTGTGAAAATAGCGTCGTAGGAGTTTTCAGCACGTGAAAGGTGCATCTGTACATAGCCAACCAATTCGTTAAGCCATATCTAAAATGTAAAGGTTACAGTTGATATCTTTTGTCCAAGTTATAATAGGAAGGTAAAATAGATACTAAAGTTAGTATATAATTCATTGACTCCACTTTTGAATTGGATCAAAGAATGATTTCTAAATACCGATTCAGGATAGAACAATGTAATGATGATGAATGAATTATCTTACAAGGGAATTGCTTGGAAAAGTTTGTCGAACTTGTTCTATCGTACTTGCTAGCTCATTTTCCTCAAGCTGTTGAAATAATATGAACGCATGCATATTAGTAGCAATTTCACCATCAACATGTGTCATTATTCTAATCCTGCTACAAGATACCATTACACTCATTTACAAGTGGTAGTTATCCCTCTAACTACGTGTAATTGACAGGCTGATACAGTATAGTGTAAAGAGTACGAGTAGTTATACCCATTGCAATAGTTACAGCTGCTCTTACATTAGCTATTAATTCTTGAAGAGGAAGTTTATCCTCTTTCTTGACTTTGGTTTTAGCTGCATCTCCATGACGTTGACGAGGCTTGGCTGGGTTGTCTTTCATTTTAGGAGTGCTATTATTATCGCCTTTGGTATGGCTAGTATCACGTCCAACGTCATTGAAATTTTGATAATTGGTCTTGGATGGTGCTAATAGATCCGTCATAATTAAATATGTCCGTCAAATACGTAGTAATAATGAATTATAAATATACATTACATATGAACAGCATCACACATCATGTCATTCAAATTTTGAAACTGGGTCTTGCTTGATGCTAATAGATCTATCATCATTCAAAGTACCCACCAAAAGGTAGCAACAATGAATCAGTTTCGACTGTAGAGTATGATTAGCATGACGCATTATGTTATTGTATAATTTGAGAATTGACCTTGATTTCAAGCAAATGGATCTGTCATCATTAAAAGTATCAATACTTGTCAAGCATTGATTACGTCTACAGCACTCTCAATATTAGTTTAGTGTATGATTAGCACTCGCCATCATCTTCTGAATAACTGTAAAAATTGGCCTTGATTTGAAGCCAATGGATCTGCTATCATTCAAACTACCAATACTACACGTAGCAATAATCCAATCAGTCTAGCGAATTACACATCCGCTATTCTGCCTGTCATTGATACGGGAAGAAACACGTCTACTGCAGTATGACAACTGGATACAACCATTCATTGCTAAGAACAAATTAGGGTTTCATCCAATGGTTGGCTTTCCAGTGGTGAAGTTGGTCAATATCAATGTAAAGTAAGTTAATGCCATTCCAATCAGATTATAGTAGTCATTTATTGCACTGATACTGAATGGCGATAGTTAATAGCTTGTTGGCAAGTCTATTACAAGCGAAATTGAAAGGTCATGATGCAGCTCGTGTTCGTAAGATGAGTAGTTTTAAGGACTCCGAGCGAATCCTATACTGTCGAATTTAGTACTGACAACATTCAAGACAGAGCTGTAAGTTATCTTGACTCCATTAGTCGATACCCTTTAATTGTTGCCGTCGTGCTTCGCTTCCAGCACTATTCTTATTGGCATCATCTTTGCCATGGTCTTTTTTCTGACTTTTAACTACATGCCATTTTAAATCGTGTGAAGCCATTTAACTCGCTTTGACTGCAACTCAGCAAATCACCATTGGACAGCTTGCGTGGCACAATCACGTTGATGAGTTGAAGGGCTCAGAAGCTGACTTTACGGTACTGTACCGTGCTGTGCCGTACCTGTGGACTGGACTACTGTTCGATTCAGTACGACTTACAATACGTGTCGATCGACACTTGGCTGACCGTGTGCACGGAGTTGACGTACAGTATAGTACTGTACAGTACAGGGTACTGATCATGATACTACAGTACAGTACTGTACAGTGTACAGTACAATACAGTACGGTACAATACAGTACTGTATTCCGTTACAGTGTACAGTACTGTATACTGTAGTACAGTACTGTATAGTAAATCTACACTGACATTGACCGTGCTGTTGACACCGGCATCGGCTCAATGTTCGTACGAGCAAAGACTACCGGTCATGGCGAAATTTTTACTTGAGTAGTCCCTGCCAGTATTCGTTCTTACAATGCTTACTTTTACAACCTGTACAAAAATGGATAAATCAAATAACTCCTCTACTATACAATGCTCAGATTGTATTCCGCAATTAGAAATTACATTGGTATATCCTTAGAGGTAAGACCTCTGTGGCTACATCCTACACAACCCATCAAAACGGAGGTTTTGCCCACAGGTAGTAACAACGAACGCTTATACTCTACTGTACTATACAATGCTCAGATTGTATTCCGCAATTAGAAATTACATTGGTATATTTTTAGAGGTAAGACCTCTATGGCTACATCCTACACAACCCATCAAAACGGAGGTTTTGCCCACAGGTAGTAACAATGAACGCTTATACTGTACCGTAACCTGTTGTGTTGTGAATAATGCTGATTCAAAGCAGTCTACTTTGTCGGCGACTTTCTGACTTGGTATGGATATCAGCTAAGACCTTTTATCGTACAAATATAAAGCACAGCCGATTATTCTACACGACATAGTGCTTTACATCCTACAGATAGTATGCTTTCGAAACACCCAAGTGCTGCTATTGAGCTGTAGTAACTGCAGCTTGTAATTAATTTGTAATAAAGTGGGGCAGGACAGTGGGGAATATTAAAAATAGTGACATTGGCATTTATGCTGGAGACGATACTGTGCTAGTGTTGCATGGTCGTAATGGTATCTGCTAATTTTGGTTAAACCTATCATAACTGTATGTACTAAATTGATTCGAATCCTGTTCATAAAGCTCCTTTCTTCATCCTTAACCTGTCTCTATAATCATTGTGATTTAGTTAAGACAAAATATTACAAGTGGCTGATATACGACTACTGTACTCGTACCGTCGTACATAACTATGACATTTAAAGGCGGTAGGCTACTAGTGGCAGTAGCGACGACGACGGATTGATTGTTTAATCTTGTTTTGCTAATGTTTTTGTTCGATATGCATGTGTTTTTATAGTTCTTATTTTTTCATTTAAATTTCATGTACTCTACGTACACTGTAACAACGATAGATAGCGTCATATTATGAAATGTAATGGTTACCCTATTTATGCAATGCATGCTTCTTTCATTATTAAGCTCCTGACGTGCATTATGAACTATAAATAATAGTAATTAATTAATTACAATATAATAGCCCGCGTACCCATGCCGTATGCTTATATTGTATTGTACTGCACATAAGCGTATTATCCGTTTAATCGATCAATCAATTAATTGACGAGATACTTTCTGTATACTTTATAAAGTTTCTGAAAGAGATTCGTAAACATGTACTATGGCTCTTGTACTGTTTATCTAGAATGCAGTAATGTATCCGTATTACTGATGCTTGCAGCGTGCACAAAATGGAATTCAATTGAAATCCCAATAAAACGTCAGTGGATAGTAATAGCTCTATTACAATTTATGGCGAGTCTAATATTAGTTCATGGAAGATAAAAACTAACTATGAACAGAAAGACCACGCTTTATATATGGCATATACAACTGGCAAACATCATCTGGTATCTTACAAGTTACGATAGCTTTCTAATTAATACAGTAGGAGCTTCTACATACACCATAGTGCCTTATATTATCCTCTATCTTTCCAAGTACAGCATAGATAACAACTGATTACATTGTTCATATACTTTTAGTCGACAACACTATATATAATCATCATTATAGATAAGATATCTCTACGAATATATAGGATCTCCTCTATTGACGCCAACAGCTATATAAGTTAATTAATTTTGCTAACGTTACATTACTGCACATATTACTAAAAACGTAGCTGGAAACAGTGGCTAAAGTTGATATAACAGTAGCTACACTGACTGTGAGTTAATTATTGAGTATATTATCGAATCAGAGAGGCATGAAATGATACCTTACCAGTTTACTAATTATCATTCATTTTTTCCCTATCAACTGTCATATAATTATAATTGTAACCCTAGGCTAGATAATTAGTTCATTATTACATAATACTGCAAAAATATATTAATACACAGCGCAATACACTTTGGGGTTATTAGTCAGCTCCATATTGCAATGTTCAATGAACACATACTGCATGTAATATTGATCCATTTCACTTCCTAGCACCAAAGTCCGTGCCTCTATTAGATCTACCTAGTGTGGTCCTATGATTCAAAAATATCCAAAAGGTATTTATTATGTTGTTGCAACTCGAAGATACACTGCGAAGTTCGCGTTACAAAATGCATGTACATATTAATCAAGAATGATAATATACGTCTGGCATTTTCGAAATACACTAGTGCAAACTCCCGTCGCTTTGCTGACGGTGTACGCTAGCAACTATCCACTCTATTGAATGTCATCACATTTCCCACTGCAAATTTGGTGGGTGGGATAAATTCTCCGAAAATGATGTTGTAATACAGTATAATCGGCTAGGTTTGTGCTTCACTACAGCCTGTTTGTTCCCTACAGGACTGTGCTGGAAGCTTGGGGAACCATAGCTAGCCAACATGAATTGAAATTTTTCACTTTTAAATTTCTCAACAAGACTACAGCAATGGCTGAAAACTCAAGTCATGGCCACTTTTCTATACCGTAATGCAGCTTTTCGTCTACCGTAGCAGGACTACTTTACGACGGGTGGTATGTTACTGTAGTAACGTAGTGATAGTGCCCATCCTAGTTTACGGTCAGTGTCCACCGTACTAGCTAGGAAGTTTATCCATTGCACACTAGTGCACAGCAGGGATATTGGCACAGTAATGAAGCGTCATAATGAGGTTGCCATTCGTTGGTAATCCATGATTATGGCCTTGAATACTATAGTAGAGTATGGCGCGCTAAGCCTTTACTGCGCGCTGTCGGTATCGCTACCATCATGATGAATAATTCATTAATTCAATTGGACAAGAACACTGGACTTCATTACAAGTGTTTTAGCACATCTATATTACAATAATATAATAGCTGGCAGCATCTATTCTATGCCCTGGCTTGATCAAGTTAACTGTGTCAACGTTGAATAGAAATGGCTAATAATAAAACGGAACATGTAACCCAGTCGTTATCCAACATTTCTGTCTCTGATTCTCAAACGATCGGCGACAGTAAACGATTTACGGTAAGATACAAATATTATAGAATGACTTCCCAAGTCGAACGTTTGATTTGAATCGCCCGTATAGAACGTATTACCAAGTTTTTTTTTTCTCGCTCTCTCCCTCTCTCCCTCTCTCTGTACGGCTCTAGTCTTGCTAAAAGTCTCTGACTATCCCTTATCGTCGATGCACGATCATGCTTTAAAATGTTCATTGCCGTCCAATCAATGTTATCGCTAATTCTACTCATTGAATCGTTATTGTACTTCGACGTGTTACACTCATTCCATTTGTACTCGTATAGAGATAAAAGAATAGATAGGAGATTTAATCCGATGATTAAGAAATCTTGTCAGTGCCTCCCCTATTGCATTTCTTTATCTTCTAAGCGTAGCCTCACGTCTACCTACCCCTCAGGGCTTCCATTTACAATATGGCTCGATCTTCTCCTATATTTTTCTTGCTAATAGTCTCTACTCCATCAATTGAATTCTAACCTGTTGGCTACAATTCACCATCCATCGTTCTATCAACGTTGTCAGGGGAAAAAATTCATCAACCCATGCTTTCTATAACGGCCTTCATAGGTCTCACTTTGTCATGGACGATTGAGCAATTTTCACCAAACTAGGCCAAAGACGTTCAGTGAGATTATCATTGGTCGATGATAAACTGATTTTTTTTTTTGTCCAAGCTTAATCCTTATTATAAACCTTCCTGCCCGTTAATAAAGATAAAATTTAAATTTGAGCTTAAGGTACACGTTAGTCAGTAATGGATTAATTAACTTCAAAATATCCACCATCGGCACATGACACCAACATTAAATAAACCTTATTCAATACTATTATCCGATCAGCACGGGTGCTCTTCTGTTCTTATACTATTAATAGTACGGTACTTCCTGCAGCATGATACGGTTCCATTTCTCCCTTGACATGAATGACTTCGGTATGTTTTAGCCAAGTTTTCATTGCTATCTTCAACATTAAATAGATAGAAACGTATCAAAAAAGACATTATTGTTAAGCATGTGCAATTCTTAAACAGCTCCACTTTTACACTTGTCATCTACAGTACTTGTTTTTCAATTCAGAAAAACATGGGCTAAATTGACTGCAATAGTGAATGGCACAGCCATCCATCCTTTATCCAAAGCAGTTTTGAATTAAGAAAAGAATTCCTATCCAACTTTAAACGCCTTAAGTTTCAAGTACTATGTACAGTAGGACGGGGAAAAAAATGATGAATATTGTCTCTTTCAGACATGATGAGTAATGTTTTTTTCCTTTCGTTCACACACTGACGCATTAATCTCGACGTATCATGTGCAAAAGTATCTCTATAATATCGTAAATTCTTGTTCTGTACAGTTTGCATGTGCATTTATATCTGTTAATTAACGAACATGCACAAAGAATAGACATTGGCAAATTACGTAAATTCCTTCAGAATATACTGTACAAGTTTACATTGGAGTTTCGGCGGAAGGCTTAACGACAGCAATGAAATAGAAGTAGCCACCGTAAAGTACAGTACAATAAAAGATCGTATTATTCTTCATTTCTTTTTTTTGGGGGGGGGGGGATTAATTGATTGCTACTTATTGCTTACGAAAAAGAATCGGTATTTCACAGCAATACGTTACGGTAGAATCTGTTTTTTTTCTCTACCCTTTCTCATGATGATGGTGAGAAAGATTAGATTAAATCCCACTTACTGCAATATTTTTTTATCATCGATGACAATGATTTAATGGATATGATCCTCTGTCACATGCTTAATTACGATAGCAAAATTGCTTTCTTTATTTTTTTGGTAACATAGTCAATTAACATTAAAATATCTTGACAATAATGTCTCATTGATGAAGTATTATATTAAATTATCATCCAATCTACTATCGATAGCAATTAATTAACAGTTAAGCAGGTCAATAACGGAGATCATTTTATTTACTCCATGATATTAAGTTAACGATACTTGGATGCAAACATCAAGTAATAAATCCTCAATTGCAGTTTAGACAAACTATCTACAGTAATAACTTTACACTTATTACAATTTTAAATATCGCCACTATTTGCACTGTGATCCAAATGATAATTTTGAATTTATCAATGTAGATATCAACTTGGGGAGTTGCCCTTTCCTTATCTGCGAATTTAATTTTAAACGTTAAGATAATGTTGCTAATAACTTATTCAGTAAATTTACTGCTCCAATTCTTACCGCTAGCGTGAAGCCGAAAAATATTTGTATGCACATACTCTGATAGCATGCATTTGGTCAAGTTCAATTTGAATTCTGTAAATAAATTTCTACTAGTACTCATTCAATTCACCATAGTGTACTAATTAATAATAGGAAGATTTTCCTACAGCAACATCGGAGAAAAAAAAAAATTGTCTCTTATTATTTTCCATTGAAATCAACTCCGAACTTGAAGTTCAATCATTTTTTCTATAGTAAATAAATTGCCCAAATATCCCAATGGGTTTATATCGTGGATTTCAATCTATACTTTAGTACAGTTCATCGTCATGCCCTTTTTAATGTACGAGTATTCAAAAAATATAAATATCTCAAAAACAATTCGATTCTAACTTTTAACGTTTATTGTAAAATTTGCAATCTAAATCCAGGTACTGCCTCGTATCCTTACCTCCATATTTTTACTATTATTGGCATATAGTATTGTTTCATATGTAATCATACAATCGTCCAAATAGTGAACTGCCTTCATTTCCACCTAAAAACTATTTTGACGCAGTGATTATTATTCTAGCTAAAATAGGATCAATAAATTTTTATTTTAAAAACAGACGAATATACTGATCCTTATCGATCGATTTGTCTAGATATATTAAAAGTAGATTTTTATTTGTCATTTAATCATTTTTTTTTATTCGCATACTTGAAAGATAGCGCATAGAGAAAGACAGATAATAGTATGCCTGCTATGGAGTTTATTTGTTGTTACTGTCAGTAACCCAGTAAATACTCAATAGTGATTATTGTAATCATTTCTATCATGATCGGCGCATCTATTTTCTTACCAATGAGACCCTACCTTATTATGTTTTTTAATACAGTAATCAGTTTGATTACTCTTGTCAAGCAAATGTAAGTAACATTTATAACACAACAAATAATGTTTATAGTTTAATCATCGCCATTTACAAAATAATTAAGTTTTATTGTATTCTTGAAGTGGGTGGGTTGCACTAATTAATTATTAACTAGCAATCATTAGTAGAATACGGACATGTTACTATTATGCAATACAATAGTTAAGAAAAGAAGCCGCGGTTTTATAAAAATCGTCATGATTATCATCGTCTATCATGCAAGATACTGTTAATAATTCAATGTTATCATGGACGAACTAAAAGTAGATCCTGTACTATATTTCGATTGTCATTATCGACGTAAATTCTCTTCTGAAATAGATTGATATATACTATATCATGCAATACACACTCTTGATCCGTCAGATTATAGTGCATTTTGAATACGCGTAGAAAGACAAGTTGCGGAAGGATTGATACACAATACGTAAATTTAGATTGTCTATTTATTCAACCTTGCGATAGATATAAGCTAGAAAGATGAGAACCATAAAATGTTAATTTGACAGTCATCATCCATTGCATATCGTCGACATAAACATGTTTTCAATGCAGAAATTAAAAAACTTATATATATATATTTAACCCCTACCGTTTATCAATGTTCCTTAAATTGATGAAAGTGATGATTAATTATTACAGAAGAATTTTATTTACATTGCTGTGTATATTTTATAATACGTCGTACATGTCCTGCCCAATCGTAATAGGGATCCTTTGAAACTGGCATGACTACGATAGCTATAACTAAATTACTAGAAAATGATCATAAAATAAACTTTGCTTTATCCGTGTAAAGAAATTTGCAGTGGATATCAATAATCTTGAAAGTTAATTTGAATTTGCATTAATTCATCTTATATAGAATTAAAGTTAAATAATAGTCCTTATGACTACCCTTGATTTGGAAAGCATGACTTAAACTTAGTCAAAAATTACTGTATATGATAATAAATAGTGTCTTGACTGAGACGATCGCATGATAGTACAGTATACTAAAATTGATATTGTTGGGAGTACCAATGGTAGCTGCAACCTTACTCTGTAAACTGTATATTATAATTAGTAAAACAATTCCAATTATTGCTATCATTACGAAATTAAGCCCATCGAATCCCAATAGAAAGCGTAAGCCGACATGGCTATTCAGATCTTATTCAATTACTTGTAGTCATGTACTGTATTAAGAATCGTTAGACGTCTACGCAACAGCAATTTTTCATTTTTAACCAATACTATTTCATGACCATCAATCCATACGTGAAGTAAAACATGTCCCTATGACCGTACATGAAAAATATAATAAAAAATAGCTGAAAGATCTAAAGTCGCAGCTTAAAACAATTATTCCAAGGATTTTTCGTCAAGATAATCTAGTTATATTGCGGTATTAATTCCGAACATCATGGAGATCTATTTAACGATATTTTAACGAGATACAACTGATATGTCAAACAAGAATCTTTATGGAATTGACACCTTTATGTAATAATAGTTCGCTCAATTTCCTTGAAATCTTCAAAATATTGCCAATATCATGCATAAGACTGATTCACAATTTTACGACTCCTACTTTTACATGAATTAAAAATTTAACTACTTTTATTCTTCGTAGGTTTATAAAGTTGTGGTCAATTACGGCGGTAGAACATACTTCATATTTAGGCGTTATAATGAATTTCACCATTTATACGAAAAGGTAAGAGCTTATTTTTATTAGACATTAGAAGTCATCCTTCAGCCAGATACAAAATAATAAAAATCCTGCGTATGGTTTGTAGCAAAAATAATAGAGATCATACTTCTAATGCTGCCACAACTTGATTTGATCTAACGTATTGAAAAATTTCAAAGTAGAATCAGCAGTAATAGTTCTTCATTATTTTATCTCTTCATTCTATGGCCGTAAAGAATAGTTTTATTGAAACAATTTAAAATGTCATACTTGAATAATATCTTGTTTAAAATAGCGCGAATTATAAACGTTACTTGCTAGTAACTATTAAAGTAAAGTTTCTATTGTCAAGTCATCATTTCAACATTTTAGGAAGATAAAGTATTCGTGTATCACTATCGATATTATTTAATAAGTAGGACCATCGCACTGCGTTAATTAAAAGTAAAAGCGATATGTTTAACTAGCCGCTAATAATTTATAGATGATACTGATGAGTGGAGCAAGAAATAATTCTAAACAACATTCGGCATGCAATCGTTAATGATAGTCATCAATATTACAATAGTTTTATAATTGTTATTTCCTATCGGAACATTACTGAATGGCATGAACTCATTCTGTTCTCAAGCCGTCACGCAAAATATCATAAACAATGCATGAAAGGCTCATAGATTTTTCTACCTTTAACTTAAAGTTGAAGAAAAAATATACAGATATCCAACTGAAATTGCCTAAGAAAAGATTATTGGGAAACAACTTTGATCCAGGTATTATTGTGTAATTGATTAATTAATTATATTGCCATATCCGGTTGACTAGATACTTACCATGCTATTGATAGCCTGCCTACTTGACGTGATAGCCAACTTTTGTAATAAAAAATAAAAACATTTAAGTGTATAGTATTTATTTTTAAAACTAGCTGTCGTATCTTTCGTCATAAAGTGAATTTTTGTGTGTCCTACTGTGCTAATCGTTTAAATTCATTGATCCATTGGCTAATATGATAAAATTTGTTTATGTGTAACTTCTTTTCTTTCTGTTTTAATCACTGGTAGAATTTATCAAAGCAAGAAGAGAAGGTTTACACGAATTTGTGCAAAAAATTTTAAATAATGATAATGTCTGCAAAGAGTGAGTGGGCTAATAATTCAATGCTTGCGTATGCAAATAATTTATAATATATAATAAATAATTAGTTGGCAGTTATTCCAACGATATAATAACCAATAATTAAAATTTAATCATTTAAATTGGTACATTCAGAATTGATGATAACAGCAAAAAAATTTCTTGCCAAATTCACAATTCGACTTTTATGCAGATATCCTTTGCAGTAATTAAATTAATAGACTATGGCAAGTATTTTCTTTTATGTAACTAATGTTATTTTCTATGCCGTTGGGTATCAACAGACCTCGTGTTCGAGAGTTTTTCTTATTGGATGATCCTCGCAACCTCAATGATGAGGATTTGCAAATTGACGGAGATGAAAGCTCTGAAAGCTCAGATGTAATTACTTGTAGTAATCAATTTCTTTATTAGTTGTATTTCAATGATTGTATTAATATTATTTAACTATATATGATTACTCTTGTTATACCTAATCTAATCAATTATGGATATTATAGAAAGATTCTGAAATGATTAATCTGGGTCCCTCCCATAATCGACAGTAAGCTTTCTATAGACTAGCATTTTCGCCAAAGACATAACGAGTGTGAAACATACACTGTTTCATAATAGTTTATCTTATCTATATGACGTGCATAGAGGATTGAAAAATGTGACTTTCCCGTTAATATGACATCTTTTAATAACTTAGGGCCAAGCCTACCGATTTCTATTTCTTGAAGATTATTGGAAAAGGCAGCTTTGGGAAGGTTCTATTAGCTAGACATAAAAAGGAGAACAAATATTATGCTGTAAAAGTATTGCAGAAAAAGCTGATCGTCAAAAGAAATGAGGTATCGAAATTTAATCCAGCTAACAGGAAATATATTATGATTAGACTTATTATTATTTATCATAAGAATACGAATAGCACTCTAGAATACTCCGAGTATTAAAAAATTTCAAGACCTTTTAGTTATGCTTTGTTTAAATTAGAACTTATGATTGTCTGATGTAGTGTGTCGAAAGATAAAAAATAACTCTCTTGGTTCTACCATCAGTAACATTCCCTTTGTCTCGTCAAAGTTATTAGTATTGTAGCTGTAGTATCGTGATTTTATTATTACAATATTATTAATGATTTAGATATATGCACTAGCGTATTGATATGTATAGCCTTCCGACATTGTCATTAATAAATCGATTTTAGTGAAAGCATTATCTGCGTTTATTATAGGCAAAGCATATTATGGCGGAACGCAACGTTTTACTGAAAAACATCAAGCATCCTTTCCTTGTTGTAAGTTAATAAGCATGCAATAATACACGAATATCGCATTCATATTGTGTAATTATATTTCGTATTCATCGCATCAAAGATTTATTGCTCTCATTGGTCTACGACTTAAGGCAGAAGCAAATTAATAACAATCCTGCTTCAAATAAATTATTTATTATGTGTAGGGTCTTCATTATTCATTTCAAACAAGAGACAAGCTCTACTTTGTCTTGGATTATGTTAATGGTGGAGAGGTAAAAACTGAATATCAACCTTGTAATTCGTTAGAGATTTGTCAGTATGTAAGCAATTTCGATATTTCCGATATCAACTAACTTGTTATATTGTGTTGAACAGTTGTTTTTCCATCTTCAAAAAGAAAGGCACTTCACTGAAACTAGGTCCTGCCGAATAGTTATAAAAATATTTCATCAAATTATCCTTTACGTATAAAGTAAATCAAAGTTTATTGTTAATTAATTAAATTTCTTAAACACTTTTTTCCACTCTTAGATCTCGATTTTACTCTGCTGAAATTGCATCAGCAATTGGATATCTTCACTCTATGAAAATTGTATATCGGTAATTATTTAAACGCCAAACATTAAATTTATTCGTTAGTATACTACTCTAAACATGATTTTATTTGGTATCATTGATTTGCTGAAGTGATCTGAAACCAGAAAATATTCTACTGGATGCCGAGGTAATAAATCACTAATTTATCAAAAACGTCTTTGCCACATTCTTTAATATTGTAAATTCCAAGCCATTAAATGTAATATGGAGACCTGTCTTATGGTCATAATTAGAATTGATCATATGTTAAATCTGCTACTCCCATAGGGTCACATTATCTTAACTGATTTTGGCTTATGTAAAGAAGGTATCGAGGCTAGCGATACTACAAATACGTTTTGTGGTACTCCGGAGGTAACTAATTAGCAAGATAGCCGCATATCGTTTTTGCTATTAATTTATCATAGTTGATTTAACTCTAGATTACATCTATTTGAATTAGTATCTTGCTCCAGAAGTTTTACGTAAGGAGCCTTATGACCGTAGTGTTGATTGGTGGTGCCTCGGATGTGTCTTATATGAAATGCTTTATGGACTGGTAATACCGAAGAGTAATTTATTGAGCTAATATACGCCAGATTATAACATTCTTATGCAACTTTTTTGATTTAGCCGCCATTCTATAGTCGCGATACAGCGGAAATGTACGATAATATTCTCCACAAACCTCTTAAACTGAGAACTAATATCACGTCCAGCGCTCGAGATATTTTAGAAGGAGTAAGATTTACTATAAATAGCAGGTTCTTTTGTTAGTCTTTTTATCAATAATTTTTATTAATTAAGATTATTTATCTTACATCATTGATATAGTTACTGCAGAAGAAGAGAGAACTGAGACTCGGTGCAGGAGAAGGAGACTTTGTAAGAAATTACTGCATCATTTCTACTTTTGTAGTAAAAACTATAAACTTACGCATACACATGAATAGATGGCAGACAGACGATATAGGAACTAGTGCACATATAGCATAATGTCCAACATTTTTAATTTACAGCTAAATTAAACAATTTTTATCCAAACCTTGCAGAAAGATATCAAAAATCATGCCTTTTTCCGTAGTATAAACTGGACTGATCTTGAGAGGAAAAAGATTAAACCTCCCTATAACCCAAATGTGGTATGTATTGATTGTCCATTATATTGAAGAATAGATATACCGTATACATTAAGGTAAAGCATTTTTGATGTTTAAAAATCTTAATAATGAACCCTTTAAATAGAGTGGGCAACTTGACTTGAAGCATATTGATCCCGAATTCGTTCAAGAACCGGTTCCAGGTAAAACTATGATATCAACTTTTAGATACAGACATAGTGTATGGCTGAAATGAACTTTATGGACTGTATTAATTTAATCCTAACTGAAGAGTTGATCGTAAACTACCAATTTAGGATCACTGAATAAAGGTGGTGCAGCTGGAGCTTCCGTTAGTGCTAGCGTACAAGATCCCGACAACGCATTTACTGGATTCTCATATGCACCTCCTCAAGACGATGCTCTAAATTGAAGATTGAACTATATGAATTATAGCATTATTTTGGTGAGATTGAACGAATCATAATTCAAAAATAAATAAGTTTTCTTTAGTAATCTTTTATGTGATGGAAGGTTCGATGAATCGGCTGAAATTGGACTAGTAGGCATGCAGACAATTACGCAAATATCTTAGTAAAGAAATGGATACTTTGTTGTTGATTACAATTTGCGTAGAATGTGGTGGTTGCTATAAAGCAGTGGGTAGGCTGCTATCAAGCAACGTGTGAAATACTAGCACTACAACTATTGTAACTAACGAATTCGGAAGCAGATATCATTAGTATTTATAGTTTTGAACATAAAATACATGCAGAGTACTATAAATTATTAAACATGATAAGCTATATTTGAGTCTAGTGTGAGTACTGTAGATTATACTGTATCTATATTTAAGATATCAGAATCACCGTACATTCTTAATAAATTACATTTTATAAGTGTAGGAGCTGAAGATCAATTTTTATTATTTATAACTTGCAGAAACGGATTGTTAGTTCGAAGAGATATGAAAATAAGAAATTCCACAATTATGGTAGAAAGAAATAGAGTTAATTATGTGCTATAATCTGCTTTAGACAATAATTGAATTCGTTTTTATCGATATTGACAGTCAGTGATCTAGTATTTGCATTGTACCAAGGCTATCAGGTGTAATGCATTAGAAAAATATTATTCTCTGAAGGTATTAAAGTGTAGAAATTGAGTTGTTCTATCAGTAAATATATTAGAATATTTTTAAGAAGAACGGAAAGATGGTATCTTTTCTTAACAGTTTAGTATAGACACTTTATTTCACATACATATATGACGAAGAAAGATACCAATTGACAATTTATTGCTGATTTTTATGATGCATCTTCATCAACTGGTTGGTCTAAACATATTACAAATAGAGAAATTGTTGTTTCATTTTTCCTTGTCTATTAATGTTGGTAATTCAAACTATAGATGTATACATACAGTGTATAAGTTAAAATACATACGCGATTTATATACAATACCTACAATTGTACGTGGATATGAATAGCTTTCTGACAAAAGAAATAAAAAGTTCTGTATGTCTATAACTATTTTGTAATTCAAAATGCTCATTTACTAAGACTAATGGACTGGAATACTGCATTTCCTTTTTATATGATATGTACTTATAATCGAGTTATTTAGAACCACCACAGTCTACATTAATGCTGCACACTGTAATAAATACTTTAAAAATCAATTTATAAAATAAGTCGCCTATCCCATATACGATTAGTTATAATATCGGTAGACTTTTATTCATATTTTTGCGAATACTATAGTTCTGATGATATGATTGTATTATATAAAGTATATTTCCTATGCCATGCAATAGTTTAGTTCAGTGGTAGACTTCGCAGTATATGATGATTCCTTAGGCTCATTTACAGTGCGATCAATTTTATTTCCAATTACTATGTAATCTGTTTATAACATAACTCGACAATCATCAAGACGGATTTCATCACTTTTTTGATGTTCCTTATTAGCAATGGTCTTATTATCCAAGATAAGGACTTAAACTGCAGTTACGCTATTAACTGCACAAGCATTTTTCCCCTTAAGTTGCTTGCCTTTAGAAATACCTGTAATGCAATTAACACATTACTAAGCTGCAGATTACGTAGACAATTGATAGAACAAATTTATTAGTACTTTCCATAGTAATCATTTCCTCAGGCCATCAGATTTACGATCGCCACTTTGGATCTTAGCTGATATAAAATATTTAGAAACGCATATTTAAGGGGCATTACTGTAATATGAAAAGTATTTTTTAACTGATTTATTTACTTTAAAATTGCTATTGTTCTACTCAATAAAATCGTCCATATGTAAACATCTCATAATAATACTAAATCACCTGATGTTATGAAGGAATAACTTTTATTAGATTGTATTTATTAACTACAATTTTCGTCATCATTGCTTTATTCATTAATTATGCTGCATTTATTGTTAATTTAGAATTATAAGATATGATTAAGCAATTCTTTTTAATAACAATCTAGCATAGTAACATTCTTAATTAAATGACTAATATTCATTCATACAGTGTCTTATTCATGATGCAATCAATATATTAAAAGTATCAGGATAAATAGTATCCAAACTAATCGTACAGAAATCTACACAACAATTACTACAGTAAATATGAAATTAAAGTTATTAATACTTTAATAATTCCTCCAGTAAGTCATAAATAAGTCATTATGCCATAAAACTCCTTTTAGTTGACATTACCGTCAGACTGTTTCGTAAAACTCTTTTTACAATTGAAGATTAAAAAGCGCATTTTACTTCTCTTTACGGCTAATAAAATAATCTCGTTATTTTAAAGATAGTTCCGATAGATTATTTTATTAATAGCAGCCGCTATAGGAGTCAACCTACGGTAATTACAATATTTTAAAAGATTCACAGTCAGTAACAAAATCAAGCTATTTATGTCGTACTTCCGCAGATGTTATACTTGTATTCTCCATCTCTCCCTTTTAAACACTATATTAAACATAAAAACGAAATAAGTCATTCTTTCGATCTTACTGTGATGGATTTATTGGAAAGATAACAACTCGCAAAGCTGTAATTGCTATACACTTCTTAATTCTAGTTCTAAATCACCTATAGCTTAATTCGGAAATACCTTACATCTTTTCTAAAGATGGCAAAATAAAATCAGATCAATCCTAGTACTTATACTTTAATAAACAGTTGCATCATTGAATCTATTTGCTAGAGAGTTTTAAATTGTATCCCATTGTAGCAAGTGAAAGATTACTTGGATAGGATGGATTCCAAAGCTTTCAACCATTCTATTTATATTATCATTTTGCTATGGGAAAGGTGCCAAGTAAAGGTTTAAAACATCCGATGAGACGGAACTGATAGTAAAACAACAAATTATAACAATAGCAACCTAATGCACGTCGCAGCATTCATAATTCATTGAATATATTGAGAAGAATTTGATAATGACTATTATTCGAGTTTAAACTAACCAAAAATGCTCTCAAAATCTTGGCAATAATACTTCAAGATGTCACGTTGATTGACACACTGTAACAGTAAAATCATGCCATACTTTCACTTGCTGTATAAAAGTCAGAATAGAGTCCATTTGCTTATGATCAATTCTGATAAAATGTGTTCTTCGGGAAACAAAACTAATTCTAAGAATATTGGTACCTAACAGCCATTGATTAAATGCTATACTGCGGCACCCCTAAGCTTAACTTTGTTCGAATAATTATAGACGATTGAATTAAATCGCTAGCTCACTAAATGATATCGGTATTTTTAATATGGATTTTTCATCAGCAATTTTAGCCATACAGTGAAGATGAAATTATATTATATACATATATATATACTGTATACATCGAATATTAATTGTTTACTATATCTATTCCTTTAGCTTACTTCTAAGACGCTTTATATCATGTAATAAATCGTGAAATCTTGCCGTACAGTAAAGTTAACGCCAAATTGACAATATAGAATTGACTTAAGGGATACTGAAAAAGGATACTTTTAAGAATAAACACGTATGGTCATAAAAATTTCCAATCACGTAATCGCACTTTTTTATTATAAAGATAGACTTTGTGCAATATTTAACATTTTGCATCAAAATTTTTGTATCCTTTCCTATTGCACATTTTTACTTATTTAACAAATTTTATTGTATTTCACCATAATTTTACGTTGATAAATATATTTATACTTGGCGGTTCATTTTATATAATAGACTGAAATCTTGGTAGCTAAAAATGACTTATATCAACTTGCTATTTCTAATATTATATAGCAAATCTAATTGAATTTTAAGCATCTATAGATATTACAGTTACTTTCCTTTCCATTATCTTCATACATGGCTATGTTTATCAAGTTGATAATGACTGCCGCAGTCACCCATCAGTTTCTACTTGATAAATATACATTAAATTTGATTTTAGTAATAATTTTAAATACTACTCTAATTATTCCCATTAATTATGGCCCATTATAATCGAGTTTATATGTTAGGCTATATCTTAATTACAGTAGATATCGTAACAATTTAAAATGAAACAACCGTAAGGTAGATTTCATAGCCAATTTTTTACTTTAGACAGGAAGTATAATTTAAGCATTAATAGCTGTTTCTTCTCGTTGTAGATTATAATATTATATATAAATACTTCATATACTGCATATGCTCTTGTTACTTATATCTTTATTGTTGATTTAAATTTTTCGATTAAAGAATAGTGGATGTAAACAGAGGTTAGTTAATTTTCAATTGATGGTGTCCATTTTTTACTGTGTAAATTAAAAGGAGGCTTTGCTACTCGTTATAATTTCTTATCAACTTAGAATGGTTGTTTCGTTCATTGGAGGCAAATATTTTCAAATAGCTCTAAATTCCATCTATAAAAGATAATAATGAAATGGTTACTAAAGATGGAATATCATGAATAATAATATCAAATAGGATGTGCTTGTTAATGATTTACAGGATGTTCCATGATAAATCATAACAACTAGTCAAAAAATATTGAGCTCATAAAGCTACAGCTGATAGTGTAAGTATTAATAGTTTGAAAGCCTTTGTCAACTAAAAACATACGAGAAAAATATTTGAATCATGTAGCTCANAGGATGGAAATATAAGCTCGAAATAGCGTTCAAATATGAGTTACTATAGCACTCAGGACATTCCGAAGAATAGCCCGTAAAAGCTATGACGCACTAACTTTGAAAATAGTTATCATTACCGTAAATCATCATGCATG